GCAGGTTACATCTGCAAATATTAACAAGTATTAATAATGCAACCAAAACACTTCATTCACAAATAAACAAACAAAGCTACCTGGTTTCGGTTTCAAGTCTTGCAAGCCCCGGATGCGGTTTTTCGTCGTGCGTTCTAGAACTTCCATTTAAAGCCTATGCGAACCCAACTATGCATATTTTTCAATAAAAACTGCAATAAGATTTTACCATATTATCAGGAGCTTATAAATGGAATGATGGAATGATAAATGGCTGATATTATTACTTACCTTGAGGGATTTTATTAAAAAGTTGTGTTTTGTGTATGTATTGCATTCATGGGGCTAGGTAGTTTAATTTAAAAAGTTAAATGTTGAACTTTTGCTGTGACCTTTTGAATTTGAGTAACAATATCTTTTGAAAAGGTGAAACTCGCGGGGGTAAGCAAATTTACACTGACACTGGCCGGTGATGATGTTTGCATTTTACTTCAGTTGAGCAGGTTGAGATAACACGATCGTGTCACACGCTCACCTACCAGGGCAACTACTGCAACGAGGAGAGGCGAGACTTCGACACCAGCATCTGGACATGCTACTGCTCACTGGATAATAATTGCAACTCTGCACCATCACTGCAAGGTGGCGCCCTCGTGTGGATGGTCACAGCAGCCTTGAGTGGACTGCTTATGATGCTTCTGGCTTAGTAAATTAGTACCTGCTAGGCACTGGTGTGAGCCACATAGGCCATATTTGTATGAAACTTTGTCGGTCATGACAGAGCCTGTGTCGGGAGAGCTCTGTTGTGTAAGCGTTGTGTATATAATTGATTTTATACCGTATATTCGCAGAAGGTCAATGTACCTTACAAATCACGATTGAATGATGAACAGCCCAGTTATTGTGAAAAGTAAATATATATCTATGTATCAATTTCCCAAGCTCTGCAGATGATTGAAACTCCACTGAATTTTTTTAGACCAGAGACTTACTTGCATGTCAAGATTACCATACGAAAGTCTCACATTTATAATGTAAATGTTGAATTTCTCTTCCTGTACTTATGAGTAGACCTAGTATCAATATAATAAGATGTTTGTATAATTGCAAGCATAGAGTTAGGTGAGTACGGTCTTTGTTTCTGTAATTTTGTATCACGTTTTTTACCTAAATGACAGTAATAAAATAAATTATTCCTAACATCGTTCTTTAGTACTTTGGATGTCCATGGATCTTTATTTTCTGTTCACCTTGTTACTCCCTGTATATGTATGCATGTGTGTGTGGAAAATATTAATGTGGGTTAAAATATTATTAAGCAGTCATTTAATTTGTATCCTAACGAAAGGGAGGCTTTCCACGGTGCGTGCGTACATAGATATATTTGCGGCACAGGCATATTGCCATGGCACAAAATTTACTAACTCGCACGCAAACTTTTCGATGTCAGAGCGCGTGAAACATCTCACACGAGTTGGCCGGTAACTCGAACTGCCCGACCTCTAGGCGAGTCATCTCGTCACACAAGTCAAGCTGACCGATCTCCAAGCGAGTCATCGCGTCACACAAGTCAAGCTGACCGACCTCCAGGCGAGTGATCTCGTCACACAAGTCACACTGCAAGTCGAGTTGGCGAGTGAGTCGAGTTGACCAGTGCCCTTAACAGTAAATGCACGTCGCCTTCCGAGAGACAAAACTATATACGATCTATAGTTGCGTTGCGTGTCGCACGCCCCGGTACGTGGAAGATCAAACTCGACGTTTTGTATCACACCGCTGTTGTTATTTCCCGTGTTTTTGGCTTCACGTTAGAGCATCGATGATGCGATCATGCATGCGATCGATGATGAACTGTACTCCCTTACGTCGACTAAATTACGAGAATTAAACGCACATTAGGATTTCCTGCTCAATGCTGCAGAAGATTGTTTTATATATTATTTCGTAAGGTTTATCAAACAAAATATATATCGATTTTTCATTAGTGATCCCACCCAATAAAACTGGCATGCAACAAGTTAACAAAATGCACATCTTTTCGTTGCTGCCGTAAAAAAGGAATCATGTGATCACATTCACCCCGATCGATAGAGTATCAGTAAAAAGTCTTTACACTGGTGGTGTACTGGCGAATATCTAGCGTGCGTCGCTGTCAGTGCGCATGCCTCGCCGCCTCGCATCTGCATTGTCTCTTCAACCATCAACTGGCCATCCATCGTCGTTAACGCAGATGCGACTCAAATAATTCATCTCCCTCTTTTTGCCTGATTCTTCCTCTGCATTTGTCTTTCTCCTCTTGTTGTTACCTTCATCTCCTCTCTCCTCTTTCAACTCCCTCCTGATCCTCCTATTTTCCGACCACCTTCGCATTCCTCATGTCCTGCTGGATGGACATGATGGGGGCGCCACAATCACATGACATTCTCTGCGAGGTGATGGGCGTCGCCGCGATCACATGCCCCCGGGGAGCGAAAGATAGGGGGCGCTGGCATCACACGCCCTCAGAGAGCGGAGACAGGGGGCGCCGCGATCACATGATGATCTCGGGCAGGGGCACGGACACCGTGACGGACTTGTGTGGCAGGACCTTGACCCCGTTGACAAACAGCTCGTCCTTGATCTCAACATCTTCTCCCAGCACCGTGACGCCTTCCATGCGCGCCTGCAATCAAAGGGGATAGGTCATCGCTTACCGTGTACGCCATATTTGTTTTCGCGTACAGATATTTTCGTGAATTCAGACTTGACGGACAATTTCACGAGCGGTTTAATTTCGCGGTCGGTGAATTCCCGAATCGGTGAAGAACAGTGTTGTTATTTTTGCGTGTTGTTATTTCCGCGGTCGGGGACGCGTTCGCACGCACGCACGCACGCACGCACACGTACCCACTGTCCGACGGTGGATCGCCAGCCGATGATGCAGGAATGCAGCCACGCGTGCGAGCGGATGTGCGCGTCCTGCAGAATCACCGAGCGCTTGATGCAGACGCCGTCGTCAATGACGACGCCGGGACCTATCGTCACGTTCGGGCCGATGCGACAGTCAGCGCCGATCTTCGCCGTCGGGTCCTGCCGTGGACGACGAAAACGCGGGAGGTTAACAAGCGAACGTTACTGTTTTACAATATTGTATTATTAATTATTTTATTATTTTTTATTAACATTACTTAATTAAAGATTTTATTATTATTTATTTTATGATTTTTATAGTTGTTTTTCATGTTATTATATAAAATTATGATTTGATGGCATTGTACATATGTTAAGTAAGAGGTTGTTAGCAAAAATGTCTCCACAAATACTTGACATAATAAATGTCTCACAGATAAGAATTTATCAGGAAATAATTTAACTGAATTAATCATCCCTGAGCAAGAATTTACTGTAGTCGCGGAAAATTATCCCGTAGCGTCCATGTCGTTTCGATCTGACAACGTGCAAGACATGACACGAAATGCATACAGGCATTGTAATGATCCTGCCAGTGTTGATACACCCAATTTAGTTATCGCTCACATCTCCTCAACGACCAACAAGAGAGCATTTAGACCTGCTGAACGTGCCCACTCACCACCAGGACATTTCCGACGATGCTGGGACCATGGCAAAGCTTGGCACCATTCTTCTGCTGTATCGCCTTGAGAAACATGCCCATGCCGGTTAGAAAGTCCTTTGGTTGACCAATGTCCATCCAGAAACCTGGGAACATAATTATACAGTAATATTGTAATCTTAAATTTGAGATTATATATATATATATATTTGTGTGTGTGTATATATATCTATCTAACTATATACATATAAAGATATATAGATAGAGAGGGAGAGGGGGGAGAGAGAGAGAAAGAGCGAGCGAGAGAGAGAGAGAGAGAGAGAAGAAAGCATAATTTATTGCTTATTGCTTAATTGTTAAAGCAATTGACTAGGTTAAAGTTTGGTCAAGTAACAGAGATAGTGACTTTACCTTTTAAGTCAAATGCATACAAGTCTTCCTCTTTGGCCATGTGG